GAGGGCTCCGGTCCCCGGGTCTAGCCCAGTGAGGGCTCCAGTCCCCGAGTCTAGCCCAGTGAGGGCTCCAGTCCCCGAGTCTAGCCCAGAGAGGGCTCCAGTCCCCGAGTCTAGCCCAGAGAGGGCTCCAGTCCCCGAGTCTAGCCCAGAGAAGGCTCCAGTCCCCACGTCCATCCCAAGGAGGGCTCCAGTCCCCGAGTCAAGCCCATGGAGGACCACAGTTCCCGAGTTAGGGCTACGGAGGGCCTCTAAAGACTATATTCTCCCCAAGGATTTTTTTTTGGGGGGGGGGGGTAGTAGGAGTCTCTCTGTGGAGGCCGGGCCGAGTGTTGAGGCCATGGCCCCCCGAGCTCCCTGCTCCGCCATGGCCCCCCGAGCTCCCTGCTCCGCCATGGCCCCCCAAGCTCCCTGATCCGCCATGGCTGCCTGCTCCGCTATGGTGCCCGGATCTAGTACTGCCTTGGAGGCGTCCCTGCTCCGTACTAGTCTATCCTGAGGGACCTCCAAGGTGTTATATCAGACTCTGTTTCTGTCTTGTGTTTTGTTCCCCACATGCTCCATGTTATGTTTATGCCCTTATTTGGTCTTCCTGTTCCTTGATTAGGTTTATTTGTCCCAGGTGTTTCCTATGTTTATGTCATTATTTCCAGGTGTTCCCCATTTTGTTCAGAGTACTTAAGCCCTGTATTTTTCATTGTTTGGTTGTACGGTATTGAATGTCTGTATGTGTATATCTCTCCTGCTACGTGTGTTTTCCTGGTTCCCTAGATGTCATTAAAATCTCATTGTTTATGTACTCCTCGTGCCGCGCTCTATCACAGTAGCAACGTGACAACGACAACTGCTGACTTACTGCAAAAATTAAACAGCTTCCTCAGTATATTTGTCTTATTTTTCAGTACAAACATCTGCACATTAAGTCAAGTCACATTTATTTGAGATGCAAAATGACAAGTTTTCATGCTTCAAACAAGAACAATTTTCAGCCAATGCAATGAGAAAAACCACCTTAATTCAAAAGATATTTGTTCGTTTCAAGCATACAGTCATTTTTATAAAACTCAGAAAACAAGACTTATTTATTATGCATTTATGGACAATTTTTCACTCAGATATTGTTAGTAAATTTCACAAATAATTACAAAAATGCAAGTAATGAAGTAGAAAGACTGAAATTGGATCTTCTTGTAAAACATACTCCAAAATCATTTTTATAACTTCGAAAAATCTTTTTTACAGTATATATACACTGTAATGTATACTGTAAAATATAAATAAAATATTTTTATTTATATATATAATACAAATGTACACACACACAGTATCTCACAGAAGTGAGTACACCCCTCACATT